CCGTCTACGGACGTGAGACTATGAGGCGTCTCTTTGCTTCCAACGTTCTCATCTCCGGGATGCACGGCCTTGGCGCTGAGATTGGTATGTGTTTCTTTGATTTTGTCATGAGATAGTGGTCTCCCTTGTCCCTTTGCTTTTGAAACTTGTAGAAGTAAGCTTTGAAGGATTTTGTGTACTAGTCATCAAACGAGGCTACTCGACTTTACTCTCTAGTTGTTAAGTTTTTTGTTCTCTTGATCTGAGATTGTTGGTATTCTTCAACATCTTAATCGCATAGTAGTTTCTGATCTTCGTTGATTTGCTTGATATCTTCCTTATTAGCGTTTCTTAATATTCCTGTGTTCAGTATGCATGTTAAATTTGAACTGTTGCTTATATTCCTGACACTGTTTAAATTTGAATTTGATCTTCTTAAGATTTATCTACGCTTCTTTTCTCATTCGTCTTTTTGTTTTTGGGGTTCTTTCAGCCAAGAATCTCATTCTTGCTGGTGTGAAGTCTGTGACCCTGCATGATGAAAGTGTCGTAGAGCTATGGGACTTATCTAGCAACTTTGTTTTCTCTGAGGATGATATTGGCAAGAATAGAGCAGATGCATCTGTTCAGAAGTTACAGGATCTTAACAATGCTGTGCTTGTCTCTAGCTTGACCACAAGCTTAACCAAAGAGCATCTTTCTGGTTTTCAGGTTGGTAGACAACTAACTCATTTGTGCTGTCATTTGTTCTATCTGGATTTGTTCTATAGATATAACTTGTGAGTTTATGACAACTTTACGACTGAATGAATCCCATACTAGTGGGACATTTTTGCTTTTCCCAGAGAAATGGTTGCCATCTTCTTAGGTGTTAGTCTGGTTGTGTTTTGTTTAAGTATTGATATAGAAGGTTGATGTACACCTTTCTTGTGGGTGTTTCTTGTTGGCTGGTTTCACGCTGATACATCTACTTTCTTATGAAACAGGTTGTTGTTTTCTCTGACATAAGCTTGGATAGAGCAATCGAATTGAATGACTATTGTCACAGCCATGAGCCTCCGATCGCTTTTGTCAGGGCTGATATCAGGGGTCTGTTTGGCTCTGTCTTTTGTGATTTTGGGCCTGAATTTGCAGTTCTTGATGTTGATGGGGAGGAACCCCATACAGGCATCATTGCGTCCATCTCCAATGAGAACCAGGCATTTGTTTCCTGTGTCGACGATGAGAGACTTGAATTTCAAGATGGTGACCTAGTTGTTTTCTCTGAAGTTGAGGGTATGACGGAATTGAATGATGGGAAACCAAGAAAGATAAAAAGTGCACGGCCGTATTCATTCACCCTTGAGGAAGACACTTCAGGCTATGGAGCATATGTGAAGGGTGGTATTGTCACTCAGGCGAAACAGCCAAAGTTGCTTAATTTCAAGCCATTGAGGGAAGCACTTAAAGATCCAGGGGATTTTCTATTTAGTGATTTCGCTAAGTTTGATCGACCTCCACTCCTTCACTTAGCATTCCAGGCACTTGACCGGTTTATATCTGAAGCTGGCAGATTTCCTGTTGCTGGCTCAGAAGAGGACGCTCAGCAGCTTATATCCATTGCCACAAGCATCAATAATGGGCTGGGTGATCTAAAGGTGGAGAACGTCGACCATAAGCTCCTACGACACTTTTCCTTTGGAGCCAAGGCTGTCCTTAATCCCATGGCTGCAATGTTTGGTGGTATTGTTGGACAGGAGGTTGTTAAAGCTTGCTCTGGAAAATTTCATCCTCTCTTTCAGGTAATATTTCGTTTGCATATACTTCTGGTATAGATATTCAACCTTTGTATACCAAGTTCTC